TAATCTGGACATGCATGTTTGTGAAGAGCTAGATTAGTCTACACCACACTGCTCCAGCTTTGAACCGGCTGTGCCCATTGTATTGGCACTTGGTCAAGAACCATACCTGGATAGAAAGAACAGGATTGGATTAGTTGAATTGTGTGCTCAGAGACCCACCGCCTCTACTGCATGGAACACAGCAGAGGTGGGGTTACAATGCTCTCTGCTTCCCTGTCCTCCTCCTCATTCATTCAGTGCAAGAAAGTTTCATGAGATTACTTCATACTTTTACAGCATCTTGGGATGAAGATGGGATCGCCTGATAATTTCTCAGGATCACGAGATAATGTCTCAGGATTGTTTAATTTTTCACCCATGTCCTGTGTGGGGCTCCGTACTAAACACATATCTTAAACAATATGTATGAAAGATAAGACTATTTGAATGGGAGATTGGGGTGTCATGTACATTGTTGGTGATTTTAAAGTCAATAAACCTCTTTTGTTGGATAAATAAATCACTTCACAATTGTAGCTTATCTTTTCTGAACATGCTGCTGTTTGAACCACCTTACTGATATGAAGTAGGCCTATATACATTGTTTTATCATAAAACATGTCCAAAGTCAGAAACAGTAAGGAATTTAACACTAATGAGTAGAAATCTTAGCAATAATTAACAGGCAATCATCAGTGCCTAATCATATCTATGAATACATAGGAGTGAGGCAGATATGATTACTTTTAACTGTTCAATTCTTATCAAAGTGTGACTTAAAAACACACTAGTTTGTTCTTGTCTTGAGGCCATTGCGTCCTGGTTTTACTCTACCTCCCATATTTACCTTATCAATACTGCCTACATGATCACATGCAGCGATTTTAAAAGTTTGTGAACAAATATATGGATCCAACTGGAGGTAAAAGCGAAGTGGAACACAAAGTGATTTCAATGGAGAAACAAAAAAATCCATCCAAAATGCAGGAAAAGGAAGAAACAATAAAAAATGTATTTAACCAACAAAGGTGCTATCATATTTTTTGTAGTGTGATAGGTCTAATCACAACTATGGTGTGGCTAAAGTTTGACCCTTGTAAACACAATTCATGCAAGGAAACAGTTTGGGATTATGCCATATGTGCTGACCTTATTCAACAGGAAGTAAAATGATCAACCTCACTAAAATGCTATAAAATGCTAAAATTAGGTAAAAATCTTAAAAATTTAAATGTGTTGTCTACTCTGTCACATGTACTTTAACATAAGATTATAGCCTAATATAACAATATCCAGATTTTGCAGAAATACAATAGTTTTTTATTTTATCTACAGATTTCTTAATAATTTATAACAAATGATACACTTTTTGTGAAGCTCAAATTCTATTTTGAGTCTTCAAAACAAATTAAAAGTGATTGTTTTTGTTATAAAGACTTTGATCAGATGTCAGTTAATGATTGAAAATGTGCTATGGTCTACTTCATTTTGCCTCCGTTTCCAAATTTTAAACATCCTGATGACATGGCATTATAAAGGGTCTATTATTTTACCATGTATTTTGATTAGATCTTAATATTATAAACTATTGAGATGCATGAACGCTGAAAAAGCGTGTTTGAATAGGTGGTGGTTGGGTCACTGAATAGAGCAGATAGAGCAGAGTAAAAGGGACAAAGAGGGGTTTTGGACAACAAAGCTTAGAGATAACATTGACTTGTTTGCCAAAAGCTAACTGCTCATTGCCTCACTATAGGGCCGTGTTGGTATGACCTGACCTCTTCCATTTTTTACTTGTGTTGAGAATATTGACTTCTTTTGTAATACACAGATCCTCTCAGCATTCTGTTTTGTATTTATTTCTTGCAGTACCAGTAGCAGCCTACAACTGCTGTCAAATTTGCTGTACTAAAGTTAAAGTAAAAAGTACACATAAAAAAGAAAAATGCATGTTTCTTTTTGATGCAATCATACACTTCTATTACAGAGCGCTTAATTTTGCATTTTATCTGCATATTCTCTGGCCAATCAGAACAGACAGTGCAGTACTGTGATGTGTTTTGCCTGTTGGTGTAGATAAGTGGATTCACAGAAGTGGGACAGCTGGATCTACGATTTTAAATATAACACAAATACAATTACTTGCTAGAATTACACTAAACTATAAGTACATGCTTAGTCATGTTCAATCACAAGTAGGCCTTACAGTATTCTATGCATAACATATTATTGTGTTTGTGTGTGCGTATGTTTATTATTATGAGTATGTTTTATTTATTTATGTATTTATTTATTTTCTTTGACAAGTACCACTCTCTTGCAACCCATATTTCACTTTTGTATATTCACATATTCACTTAATGTTACTTTCTCTCTTGTAAATATGCACTTCATATTGTAAGTAGTGATGTTTGCAAATAATAACAATACTATAAAGCAAGTAACTTAAAAAATATATATATACAATATTACCCAAAATATCTATCCATATTACAGTAATTTGAGTATTTATTTTACTTTTTTTAATGTTTGGAGAAGGTCTATAAATCAAAGTGCAAACGTGCTAGGTTGGAGCATACAGGTAGACAGGAAATAACTTTCTGAGTACTGCTGTCTGAATGCCAGGAGAGTCTCAAGTCATTTGTTGCTCTATGGACCATGGGAGGACAAAAGTGTCATTAAATAAATAATACATGCGTTACTATTTTGTGAAGTGGAATGAAGATGCTTCCTCCTATTTTGATTCCTGTACAGGATATAAACAGTCACACATATCAAATTGCACTCACTTATAATTAAAGTTATAATGCAACAACACACTACTAAATATGTGTTTGGCTCTTGGATGTCGGCAACAAAACCTCTAAAAATAAATAAAAGTCTTCTGTGTTCACATGTTGGTGGGAACATGGCTGAGAGCAAACTTCACACAGGATATTACGTCTGAACTCAGTTGTGACCTCACATTCATTTCAGGCAGATGGCAGTATTATGAGTTGTTTAGGCAATTTAATTACGGAGAAACTTAAGCATCAGTGTCTCAGTCAGTCTGTACATTTTACTTAATGTTTTGTGCAAGACAATTACTTTGAACTCCTAAAATTTCACTACATTTCACAATACAAATGCTATTCTGGTTTGATGGCAACTGTGTTTGTTGTTGGCACGTTACCCAGTTTCAAGTGTTATTCTCACAATGTCAAATTTTTACATAATGATTCATAGACTATGAATTAAAGGTGCACTATGTAACTTTTCTGGAGGAGGGTCTGTCACCTGCTGTTGTATAGAAATGTTATTGCTTTGCTTGCTTGGAATGTTCCATTGTATTGCATTTAGTATGGAGCAGGTAATCCTACCAGCAAAGTTACAGGTCAGATTATTACTACTTATATTTTTTTTATTCTTTGTTATTATATTATATTATATTGTGATGAGTGAGCTGTTGTGTCCAAATTATTTCCCTGGTGAATCAATAAAGTTTGTCTAAGTCTAAGATCTGTGGAGAGGCAACCTCCCCTCCCACAGTAAAGATGCATGTTTTTCACGGTATTTCAAAGCAACAAAAACACAAGCAGTACAAGGATTGCATAGATAAATTTAAAACCGCCCAGAGAAATATTCCAAGCAACGTAAAAACATCTCTATGTTAGTGTACTTCCCACCTGAAAAATTTGTGTAGCTTTAACACAACATGTTCGTGTAACTTCTGTCCTTCTTGCCGAAATAAGGCTCTGTCACAATAACTAGTTTATTGACTTAGGCCGTTGTTTCCTTTATCTTACGGTATTTCACTTTATTTCAGCATGATAGATTGAACAGTGGCTGCTCCAGTGATGAAAAAAAAGAAAAGAAAAGAAAGAAATGAAACTGAAATCAATCAAGACTTTGGTGCCATCTAGCGGTAACAGGTTAGTATTACTGGTATGAGGTATGTTGGAAGAGGCAATTTGGTAGCCTATTAATTATGTTTTAGAACAAAAGTGGAGTGGGATTAGATTGAAATTATTACAAAATTACAGTCTGTCATGGGTTTAGTGCGCGCTTTCCAGACCCTTATTTTTTTTTAAACCCATATTGTCATCAAATGTTGTAGACCTACTTTTCGACAGCAAGGCATGCAGAAAGGGGACTT